GCCCTATTACATGCCATTTAACACACTCTAATTCCTCGAATTGCACAGCTAGACTAGCCTCACTAGATAGTGTTCTAGTGTTGAAAGTAGCCATGTTCAGATTCCAATGGCGGCCTGTCCGTACCCAGGGATTCTGAGCACCCTCTGCCGCGTCACAGGTCTGACCGCCGCTTTGAACAGTTGTTTCGCAGCTGCTGGGGACTGAGGGCCAAGGGTTAATTGCTGTGTTCATGGGAGGTTGTGGCCAGGTACTGCATCAGGGCGGCCAATCCTGCTCTGGTGAGGGAGTGCATTACCAGCAGATAGTCGCCAGTTCTCTCTTTTTTTTTAAAGATGATAGTCTTTCTTGGGGACCTTCGAAGCAAAAATTTTGGTCGGTCTGTCTGTCTGTACATTTGTCTGTTTGTCCACTCTTACCGGCATCGGGTACTTGAAACGGCTGACCCCATTTTCAGCGACCACCAATGTTGCTAAAGGTTGAGCATTCATGCTTGTGCAATTGTCAACCAAAAAGCAATTATTGCGCATGTCTAGGGCACCATAAGAACACGCATATATTCTGCATATGCATCTCTTACTAGAAAATGCATACATAAGTAATTTTAAGGATCGTAGCGCTTATCACGTTGCGCTTACCATGCAATGCTTGCACGGAACGGGGAGTGTTTCCAACGCTTTGCTAAGACGAGATGGTGGTGGCACCTACCCGTCGCCTCACGTTCTACCCCTATCACCTCTGAGACGGGCGTGCACGACCTCGCGCTTTATTTTACAAAAGAAACTGCCAGATGGCGCTCATGTCTCACGTGTGGCGTGACTTGATGCACTCGTTCGCCTTCGCTGCACGTTCGAGGCACTCGAATGCAGCGCCTCCGGAATACCATTCACCGATTTTCTTGCACAAAACATCAAATAAATGTTTTGTTAAATCTCTCCACACGCAAGACTATAGTCTTTCGACGACATTTGCAGATTACATGCAGATACGGAGCCAATTTTTGCTTTTAATGATTCCTTGCTCACGCATTCTAAGTAGATAATATACAATCGGGAATGGTTCGACATCTCTAATCAAACCAAATATTGTCATGGCATGCTTGGCTGCTGCCCTATCTGTAAGTAGATGGTCTGTTGCACTTTATTAGCAATGTAGAAAACCACCTGACCGCCTATAAGCTCCCAACTTCACCTGGCTCGTAGCTCGTTTCACCTTTTTTTTTTTGTTGTTGTCTGAAAATCTAATTTCTTTATTTTAAAAAAAAAACACCTTGTGTGGTTTCGAACTTTCGACCTTATGGGCTTGTTCCGCATTAGTGCCCTGAATGAACCTTCTTTCCACGCGTTTGTTCTCTCTTAACTTCTCCCTGTCACGCTCGATATTGACATTGTGGGTTTTAAAGTGTCCGCAATGTCACAGTTTTTCTGATTTTGAGTGTCGCACTCCTACTTTGATGTTTCCTGTAAACTGACGAGTTGCACACACCTGTTTTCCAACTAATCGGCTACTTCCATGCGATTCTTACGTTGAGCGTATACTTCGTGGGCGGTTGGAGTGCATGAAAATTAAACATGAACAGTTTCTAGCTGCTAAAGAATAGACAGGCACGACTTTTAAGGCTGTATGCTATTTTGCAGGCGTTTTGGGGTAGTAAATAAAAAAAAAACATTCTGGTAAATAGACATAGAAGAAGACAGTGGCCCTCAGATGGGAGTCAGCTATACATATTAGTAATTACATCAATGGTTAGCCTAATAACATTAAATAAATGAGGGATAGTAAGGAGCAAATTATTTCTAGTTCTAGAAAGCGGCGAAATGAAAAAAAGTTTGTAAAAAAGCAATGTCGTGTTCACATCACTTACCACAAGCGTCAGCTTGAATTCCTAGACTCTGACAACACTTGGCACCCTTCCTCACACATAATGATAACTCCGTGCAACCAGTGAAATGATGCCATTTAAAAAGCCAAATTCATTTTCAGCACATCAGATAAGGTTACAGGAAAATCATCTCCAAGAAGCAGAGTAGGGTGCATAGATGTGTGTTGTTTGTATAGGTCATAAAAATATCTTTATCTTTGCATAGTAACAAGGGGACATTTGATTAGAATGTGTACCACTATAGTTATGCTGTTAGCAGTTCTTGACATTTTGCACATGTTGGTTGCTCCCTGTTTGTAAGTAAAAAGTTGTGCCTCAGGTGTGTGTGCCCCATTTGGAGTGTCATAATACAACTTCAACAAACCGTCCTAGGTGTCAATGAGTCTTCCATTCTAAAAGTATGGGCTTCACTGGACGGAGCTTACTATTTGGGCACGAGTACCACTGTTTCTGCCATCTAGCTAACAATTCTATACAAATTGTTTGCTGGCTGTTCTTTATGGGAATATCAATTTTTGTAACCCATTAATGCACTGCCAAAAAAGCACATCTACTAAGTGCTTTTTCTTTACTAGGTATCCCAAATTGGCTGGAGACTCTGCAGAAATTAATAGTGACGGCCTCACTATTCAAAACTATCATGTTTAAAATATAGCCAACTAAGGGTTCATGCTCAGACTTCAGATGTAGAACTTTCAGTGCAGTCAACAAGTCAGTGTATATCATTGCGTTCTTGCATTTGCCAGCAAAGATATTTTGTACCACTTGTATAAGGCATAGATGTTTTTGAATATGGACAAGTACTGAGGCAGTGTCAGCACATTTCCTGTCACCACATTGTCAGCACATTTCCCTGTCACAATCCCAATATCCACATGATTTTTCATTTTTTAGCAGCCGATGTAACATACGATGCTAGCTTTATATTTACATTGAAGTGCATAAAATTCCTGAATTGCGTGTCCTGGGGTGCCTTTTTTTTTTTCAGGTGGGCTAGGGAAAAATCACAAAGCAGTGCCAGGTCAAACCATGGTGGAAGATTTGGTGGTTGCATTGAGTGCCCATTCAGGTACAACATATGTGCAAAAGTATTCATCAAACCATAAAATCAGTGGTTTGATTAAGCAGAGTAAACATGAGTCACATTTTGTGACAATGTTGTGGTATTATGTGTTATGGTGATGACTTAATTGCCAAAACATAGCACATTGTTAATAATATTCTTTTGCTGATACACACAAGCTTCATTACAATCTACATATGAACTATTCACCAGCAATGTTCAGTAGGCACCACTGGACAGACGTAGGCAGAGATTGTGGACAGGGTCAACACACCGAATGCAGAACACACGAACCAAGCCGCAGACAACCCAACCATCATCTAAAATACCACACACAATGGAACGGTAAATATGTAGCAGGCACAGCCAGTTGGAACGCCAGTGCTTATGACACTTTAAGAAGATTAAGTACTCCATCTGGCTTAATTTTTAGTGTGTTTATGTGGGAAACTAAGTTTAGTGTTTGTTTGAATGCAACTGCTAAAAATATATGCTCTTGACTTACCGCTATCACGACATTGCTTAATCATAACACTGAGTCTGGGTATAATCCTTGCCATTGCATAAAGAGAACAGTCGCAAATGTTTGTTTCAAGTAGCAAAAACCATTCTAGTCAGCACATTACATGAGCTTATTGATTGTTATTTGGGGTTGCCATTCACAGGTTGATAGTTTTGAGGCACAATTGAAAAACATCAACAATGACAGAGTGCATGACTATGACTAGAATGACCTTGTTAATGAAGTTTATTTTGACAATGAAGAGAGTTGTGCTGAGAATGCAACCTTGTGGTACACCATTTTCTTGTTCAAATCTTTGTAAGAGTACAGGGCTGAGATGTACAAGAAATGTCCTATTCATTGATTGATTGATATGTGGGGTTTAACGTCCCAAAACCACTATATGATTATGAGAGATGCCGTAGCGGAGGGCTCCGGAAATTTAGACCACCTGGGGTTCTTTAACGAGCACCCAAATCTGAGCACACGGGCCTACAACAGAAATGTCCTATTCAGCAGGAAGTCACATAAGCAGCTTAGCATTCGTACATGCATCCCCAAGTCAGCTAAGTTTTTCAGGATCCAATATCGTCCCGTCATACCGTACACTTTCTCTGAGTCAAAGGAAACAGAGTGACTGTACTGGTTATATAAAAATGCACCTTATGTTTCGTATTCTGGTCTGAGGAGATGGTCAGTGGTAGAGCAGCCCTTTTCATATCCGCCCTCATGTAAGACTATCAGGTGCCTTGATTCAAGAATGATCGTGAGTCTTGTGTTTATAATGCTCTCATATGTTTTTGTGAGACAACTTGTTAATGCAATGGGCCTGTAGTTACTCAGGGATGTTGGGGGTTAAACAGGCTTCAGGGAAGGCATGAAAATTGCATTTTTTGCCATCTTCAGGTATTTTCCCAGACTTTCATATTTTATTGAAAAATTGGGAAAATGCCTTTGCCAATACTTCGGATAGGCACACCAGCATTGCATAACACACCCGGTCAAGTGCTGTTGCCATTTTGCTACAGCAGAAAGAATCCTGTGTTGTAGTATAAGAGGATTATTATAAAATTCATTTGAGGCACTCATAGTACCCAGTCTCTACTTTTCAGCAGATTCCTTGTATTTGAGGAATGCCTTAGTGTAATTCGCTGAGCATGAGACAATTAAAATTTTCATCACCATTATATGCCGAAGAGTATGCGCTCATTCCACATTTTCACAATAATTTATAACGTACAACACGCATTCTCGAGTCGCACAAGTTATTACTAGCACTGCTTCTTAACAAACTCAAAAAACTTTAGTTTCAACCAAAGGTACAATTAGTCAATAATAATGGAGAAACATGTGTGCTGGCCAGCGGCTTCTCCTTCCCCGCATAATAGGTATGGGGAAAAGATGACAACTGCTTGAATATGGTTTCTGGATCTTACTTTGTTTTTCTGCCCGTGCAAGAACAAAATAAGAAAAGCAACTAAAGTGCTCATAAGAATCAGTAGTACTGCCACAACTTCCCCTTCCCAAGGAAGTGATGCTGCATTGATGGTTTTACCTGTATCAGTGCTGTGTGCAGGGCTGAAGTCAGGAACAGCTGTGCACCAGGAAGACCCTCAGTGAAGGCTTTGTAGAAGCGACTGAAGGCACAAGAGCCATGCTGCAGAAGACGCCGCACATTCTCGCAGCCTTCCAGCTGCAGCACCATCAACTCGCGCAAGAGTTGCAGCATCAGTGTCTGGTCTTCCGAGAGGGTCCCGCAGCCGTACACACATGATACTAAAATATCTACGACCGCCTGGAGCTGACTTGTAGGGCCACGCACAAGGCACACAGCCACCAGACAGGGATCTTGACGCAAGCCACGAAGCAATGTTGCATATGCGTTGTCATTCATGCCCAACATGCGGTACGAATCCACAAAGCATGCATCCTCGAGGGCATTCAGGCGCTGGCAGCATGAGGCAGGGCTGCCATCACGACCGAGGACGAGGGCTTCCAATGCGTTGCGCTGCTGCCGCGAGATCCATGAGAGATGCTGTAGGCGTTCAACAGAGCGCTGCACATGCTCGTTCAACCGCTGAAGCTCTCGCTTTTCCGAGTTCACAAACAGATGTTCCCGACGAAGCCGTGAAGCCAACTGGAGGAGCTCTGCACGCAGGCCAGAATTGCCTGCGCTGCCCCTCTTCAGCCCCATGGCCACACTTTAATCTGAAACAAATAAAATTTGGCACATTACAAAACGAATAGATACTGCACACAAGCTATAAAATGCATTTGGCAAAAGTGAACTGCCTCATTGATTACTTTTTAAGGCAAGTTGTGTCATATATGACATATCCAGTCCAAGTTCTCCAAGCTCAACAGAATCGCAAACAATAAGTACCTTGCACATGTACTCAGTCTGTGTCACGTTTGGTGATAAAATACATCATAGTGACTGTAACTTTAGAACAGATGGGCTTTCTCGTTTACCTTAACCCTTTTACTACCAGTTGTTCCAGGCAATGCGACACACTCCATGGCATGATTTTTTTTTTTTTTGCATGTTGCATAAAAATTTTTTGTTAGCAGTACACTAGAATACTCTTCAGAACATCTGAAAATGATTTATTGAAAATTACATGATCAAATAAAGAGCTTACCTCATTACAAGCAGTTTAGGAGTTAATAAACTAGCAAACTAATTAGCCACCAAGTAGAATGCCAAAGTGTTCAGAATGTCATTGTAGTGTGGTATTCTTCAAGAGTGGGGACCACACAAAGGGACACCTGGCAGCTAGAACATATTGCCACCATTGATGAACGAGCCGCTGTGGCTCATACCCGTTTTGGGCTACGAAGAAGAAGAGAACATTTTCCTTGCTCTGGTTCGGTGAACTCCTGGCTGCAGGTCTTGTTTTTGCTCGCGACATTACTGGTGGAGGTGCTGGGTACGTGTACTTCGGCTGTGTTGGCCATCGTGGAGACAGCTACATCTCCCAGAGCAAGAAGCAGCCGCCGCCTGCGTGGATTACCCCCTGAATTTGGTCCCTTGACATCGACACCCAGAAAGATGGCAACTCCGATGACAAGCCAGGCGGTCCAAACCAGCGATGCCCATGGTTCTCTTCTCGCCCATGTTTTTCAGGCACCACAGACACCAAAGCCGTTCCATGGAGATATCTTCGAGGATGTTGATGACTGGCTCGACCACTTTGATCGGGTTGCCTGTATCAACAAATGGGACGACATTCGCAAGCTGCGCCGAGTTTACTTTTACTTGGAGGATTCTGCGAAGACGTGGTACGAGAACCACGAGGGCTCCTTTGCAACCTGGCAAGAGTTTGGCCGTCAGCTCCGTGACGCCTTTCAGAACACTGAGTGGAAGGAGAGGGCCGAACAAGCCATATCCTGCAGAAACCAGCGGCCGAAACGAACGAGTATCCATGTTTGTCGAGGACATGCTTCGGCTCTTCAAGCGCGCGGACCCTGCCATGCCCGAGGAAAAGAAGGTGAGGCATTTGATGCGCGGAGTAAAAGAACAGCTTTTCGCTGGGCTCGTGCGCAATCCACCAACGACAGTCGCCCAGTTCATCAGTGAGGCGACCACTATGGAACGTACGCTGCAGCAGCGGTCATCACAATACGAACGCCAGATCCCAGCCACCGCATGCTCTATCGGCTCTGACAGCGAGAGACAGGCCCTCGCAGACTTCATTCGAAGTATTGTTCGGGACGAACTGCGACAGCTTCAGGCGGTGGGATCCCATCAACCTGTGTCTGCCCTCACGGATGTAATCAGACAAGAAGTCCGGCAGGCCGTCACACCCCTGACCCCAATCACACCACCGATTCCCGAGGCGCCAGTCCTGACATACGCAGCGGCATTGCGGTCCCCTGCCGCCACCGGCTACAGATCCTGCTATGTGGCCCAGGTACCAGGCTATGCAGTCATTCCACGGCACTGCTTCGAGCCCGCCTCACGGCTCAAGGTTCCCGAGCGCACCCATCTATCTGCAGTCTACCTCAAGACAAAGTGGTAGCAAGGCAAGCACGTGGCGCACCTCGGATAACCGTCCGCTCTGCTATCGCTGCGGCGAAGCGGTTCACGTATACAGGAACTGTCAATACCGGCAACTAGGTCTCCGCGGCTTCCATCCTGATGCTCGATGCCCGTGCTACGGTGAGCGCCCCCGCGAAATCGAAGCCTATCTCACGGGCCAGCGAACACCTTCGACTGTTCAGCACCACCAGTCGAGATCACCGTCGCCTCGCCGGTCTACGTCACCCAGTTTGCCCTCATCGTCTTCCGCTCCTTTCAGGAGCCGGTCACCAAGTCCCCGCAGGGGAAACTAGGAACGGCGACTTCTGGGGGTGAAGTCGCGGCCCGGCGAACTGCAAAAGACCTTCATTCGACGCAACGACCAGACGAGGACCATTCCGGTTTTGCAGTGTTCTCTGACAGCAGAAAGATCGTTTCTGCCGAAATCGCCGTCTTCGTAGACAATCATGCTGTCAACGCCCTCGTCGACACTGGCGCCGACTATTCCGTAATGAGCGCCGCACTGGCATCTGAACTGAAGAAGGTTACCACACCATGGCAAGGACCCCAGTTGCGCACGGCAGGGGGCCATCTGGTGATGCCTACCGGTATGTGCACGGCACGCATTCGTATACGTACGTCGACATTTGCAGGCTCTTTCCTCGTATTGCGCGTGTGCTCTCGGCCAGTCATTCTAGGAATGGACTTCCTTCGTGAATACGGCGCCGCCATCGACCTCCGTGAATTACTTGTGTCGTTCGAGGATCCTTTTTGCGCTGCAACTGACAGTACACAGTTCTGGAAAAGAGCACTTCGTGTTACCAACGATTCTCTGACTCTCCCACCTCGAAGCAGCCTCTTTGTCGAAGTAGAATTGGGACAGGACATGTCTGACGCGGTAATTGCAGAGGCCAATTTGTCTCTCCTTATTTCATGACAAATCTGTGTTGCCCGAGGAATCATTCAGCCTAGCAATAGGCATGTTCACCTGCTGGTCACGAACTTCAGCGACGAATATCGCCACTTAACGAGACACACCGCCATTGCATATTGTGAAGAACTTGCCGATGCCGATGGTTCGCCCACGTTAGCTTTATTTTCATCGAATGGCCACCCTGACGAGGCGTTCGCGAGCACTCTCGACGTAAACGAGAGACTACCTTCGTCTCAACGAGAAAGCCTTTTGCGTTTACTCGGCTCATTTCAAGACTGCTTGCCACTACGTCAAAGGTTAAACAGACACCACTTGCTCAGCACCGTATCATCACGGAACCCACCGAGAGACCCATCCGACAACCCGCCTATAGGGTGTCGGAAAAAGAGCAAGACGCTATACGTGACCAAGTCCAGCAGATGCTTCAGGACGACGTCATCCAGCCATCAACCAGTCCCTGGGCTTCGCCAGTTGTGCTAGTAAAGAAGAAGGACGGTACGTTGCGTTTTTGCGTTGATTACCGTAAACTGAACAAGGTCACCAAAAAGGACGTTCTACCCCGGATAGATGACTCGTTGGACCGTATACGCAACGCTAAATATTTTTCTTCCATGGATTTACGTAGCGGCTACTGGCAAATCGCAGTGCATGAGCGCGACCGCGAAAAGACGGCGTTTATTACTCCCGACGGCCTGTACGAGTTTTGAGTGTTGCCTTTCAGTCTATGCTCAGCGCCAGCTACTTTCCAAAGAATGATGGATACGGTTCTCACAGGGCTCAAATGGCAATCATGTCTTGTTTACCTTGATGACGTCGTGGTCTTTGCAGACACGTTTGAACAACACGTCCAACGCCTTCATGCAGTACTTCAGGCAATCAGAACAGCGGGGCTTTCTCTCAAACCCGAGAAATGTCATTTTGGATATGAAGAACTGAAGTTCCTTGGTCACGTTGTGAGCCATGCCAGCATCCGCCCAGATCCGGAGAAAACCCGTGCTGTTGCCGCCTTTCCTGTGCCCACAAATAAGCGCGACCTACGCCGATTTCTGGGGCTCTGTTCGTATTACAGGCGCTTTGTCAAAAACTTTTCGAAGATTGCTCAACCCCTCAACAAGCTTACAAAAGACGGTGTCTCGTTTGTTTGGGGTCCCGATCAGTGTCATGTGTTCGACACCCTCCGAAACCTCCTCCAGGCTCCGCCTGTACTGGGTCATTTTGACGAAAGTGCTGACACGGAATTACACACTGACGCCAGCAACGTTGGACTAGGAGCGGTATTAGTTCAGTGGCATAATGGCGTAGAGCGCGTGATCGCTTATGCGAGCAGAACGTTATCCCCAGCGGAGAAAAACTATTCTGCAACTGAGAAGGAATGCCTCGCTGTTGTCTGGGCCATAACAAAGCTCCGCCCATACTAGTATGGCCGCCCATTCAGGGTAGATAGCGACCACCATTCCCTTTGTTGGCTCGCAAATCTCAAAGATCCCTCAGGTCGTCTAGCACGATGGAGCTTTCAGCTACAAGATTTAGATGTCACCTTCGTCCACAAATCTGCGCGGAAACACACCGACGCCAACTGTCTCTCACGTGCTCCGGTCGAAAATGCCAACACTGACCTTGAAGACGACGACACTTTTCTTTCTGCCGTATCAGCAACCCGCTTAGCTGAGCAACAGCGTCACGACTCGGAGCTCTTTCCGCTCATTGACTACCTGGCAGGACGCAATTCCCACCCTCCTCGTTACGTGCGTGTCATGATGAGCCATCGTCCGGACACCTCGGCTATACGCGCACGCTGCAACGAATTCAACGCTCCTACTACTGGCCACGTCTCGCAAAGACTGTGAAGCATTACATTCGCACATGTCGCGACTGTCAGCGACGTAAGGTTCCACCTTTACGACCAGCGGGACTACTGCAACCAATAGGACCACCAAAGGCGCCCTTTCATCAGATTGGCATGGACTTGCTGGGGTCATTCCCCACGTCTTCGTCTGGAAACCGGTGGATTGTGGTCGCTACCGACTACTTAACACGCTACTGTGAAACGAAGGCGCTTCCAAAAGCAACCGCAGCAGATGTCGCCCAATTTTTTGTGAACAGCATCGTCCTACGTCACGGTGCTCCAGCTGTCATCATAACTGATCGTGGGACAGCTTTCACCGCAGAGATGCTGCAGGAAGCCTTGCAATTAAGTGGCACGGAACATCGTAAAACAACGGCTTACCACCCGCAAGCAAACGGGCTGACTGA